GGGGGGGGGGGGGGGGGGGGGGGGGGACGACTCTCTTCCATTTAAATTGCAAAGGGAATCTGCAAAATCAGAGGCAGATCCCAAGGGAGATAGAGAGAACAGCACGACAGAGAGATTTTCAAATAAATTGGTCCCCAAATGGATTTCTGCATTTCGGAGTTAAGATCTCTTCGAGCTAAGATCTCTCCCATGCTCACCAAGATACAGCATTATTTAACAAGATGGCAAGATTTAACCCCAATGGAGCAAAATGTATCAGTTTAAATTGAAAATTTCACCCATCTTTTATATTTTGTAAGGGTTAAATAACACTTTGAATAAGCACAAACACCCCTCTAAACCCTAGACCAATAATGTTCTATACACTTCACTGACATAGGGGATCTCTCTATTCTATGGTTTTTTACCTAACTTTCCCACCATTGTTACCACCAGAGCAGCTGCAAAGTAGGAGCATTAGAGTAGACGAGCCACTGGTGTTTTAACCACTGTGTCATCTAACCCTGCCCAGAATAGGTCTAGACAGGGCAATGTTAAAAACATCAGTTGCTACGGAAGTCTTGTCTACACTAGTACCACCATCGCCGGTAGTGGGAATTTTTTGCTAGAAAACTTAGTGCACCATAGTAAGAAAACTCTCTCGTCTGAAGAGTTTATAATCTTTAAAAGGCAACACACAAATAAAGAGTGGGGAAATCCCACTCAGCTCTTAGCTCATGATTTACTTTCAGTTTTTAATCCATTTTTATCATAATTTTCAGATAAAACCCTGGAAAGGTTGAAAAGAAAAAGCTCAGAATCATCTAAAGATGTACCTGTCTATAGAGACAGAAGGTTTAACACAACTCACACTACCAAATAGGAAACTTCATAATCTGGTCAAGGAATCCTGGCAATAATGTAAAATACTGTACCCTCTTCGTGGGCCAGAAACACATTTCAGAGACGGCTGAGCAAGTCTATGATTAAAGCTTTGTTTCATGGGGGTTGAGATCACAATGCAGCCAGGTGGGAGGGAGCTGTAAATTCTCAATGCTTTTATCAAGAGAACAGGACCTAATCTAGACACGGAAAGGATGATTCTAATGGAGTTACACCGGCACAAATTCAGAGAAACACCACTGATGTCTGCGGAATTACTCTGTATTTTCACCAACGTGACTGAGATCAGAATTCAGTCCCTGGACTCAAGAATTCATTATTTACCTGGCTAATCTTACTCCTTCCCTCAGAAAGTGATAAGTAAATCTTGAACAACATGTTTCTATTATACTAATGAGGATGACCTCTTGGGATGTCCATAAACCTCCCATCCAGAGGATCTCACAGAGATTTTACACACTAATGAACCTAGTTTCACAACTACCCTATGAGGCAAGAGATATTTACCTCAATTTACATAAGAGGAAACTGAGGCACAGCCATTCCAGGGCCTGATTTTCAAAGGTTTACATTGGAAATATGTGCACAAAAGGCCTGTTTATTTTCACACACAAATACCATAACTGTGTTCACGTCCCTAGCTATTAAATGCACAAGTAATCTGTTGTGTATCTAATTTATAATTTGCACATGCAATTACCACACTGATGCATAAAATCACAACATTTGCACACACAAATTAAGTGCGTGTATGTGTGCTTACTCGATTGAAAATCAGCCCCTCAAGTGACTTGCTTGTGCTCACAAAAGACATCTGTGGAGAGGTAGGCACAGCCTGGCTTCCAGTCTGCACCTTCAACACAAAACCTTGCGGGAACTGGGCCTTCTGGCTGCAATACTGCCAAGTGGTGCGGAAGCAAGAAGAGCTGTCATTCAGACAATGCCACACTGAAACGCATCCTAAACCCCAATGACTCATTCCTAGATCCCAAGGCCAGAAGGGACCATCGTGATCATCTAGTCCAGGGGTCGGCAACGTTTGGCACGCGGCTCACCAGGGTAAGCACCCTAGCGGGCCGGGCCAGTTTACCTACCTGCTGACGCGGCAGGTTCGGCCGATCGCGGCCCCCACTGGCTGCGATTCACCGTCCCAGGCCAATGGGGGTGGCGGGAAGTGGCGCGGGCGAGGGATGTGCTGCCCATGGCTTCCCGCCGCCCCCATTGGCCCGGGACGGCGAACCGCGGCAAGTGAGGGCCGCGATCGGCCGAACCT